GCCGCCGCCGGGCAGCGGCGCGAGGGCGAGCGCGCTCGGCCGCCGCGGCGCGACGGCCTCGCCGGCGAGCGCGCCGCCGTCGTAGCAGCGCAGGACCTTGTCGCTCGAGGCCGTGACGACGAGGGCGCCGTCGCCGCTGCAGGCGACGCAGACGACCGCGTCCTTGCTCTCGAGCACGGTCGACGACCAGGCGCCGTCCGAACCCCGCCGCGCGACCACGGCGCCGCGGCCGATGCCGACGCAGAGCAGGCCGTCGGCCGCCGCGATGAGTCCCATTGTACGCTGGTGCGAGGCCGGCCGCACGCAGATCGCCAATGGTTCAGCATGAACTCAAGGTGAAGTTTAGAACCTCCCGGCGGGCGTCGACGGCACCTGGCGTTGGTGCGCGGTGCTTACCGGTGCTGCGCTGCTTCGAGACTCGCCGCGCCAGCTCTCTTTCCAGCCCTGCGTGCGAGCTGGTCGAAGTGGGACGCCGCGCGCTCCACCTTGAAAATCGCGCGCGCGCGCGCGTTGCTACCGCAGTTGGTGCGGCCGCGGCCCTTGGTGCCGACGGCCGGGCCCACCCGGAATTCGGGCGCCACCACCGGTCGCGCGGACTCGTGCAGCGCGTTTTTTTTTGCCACAACATTGGATTCAAGAATCGCAAAGCCCAAGTTGAGCCGATCCGGCCTTCTTGTGCTCGTCCACGGCGCCCGTCTGTTCGCAACCTGCCGAAGCTCTAAGACCATGATTCGTTCCGTCATCGTGGCCATCTGCATCGCCGGCGCCTCGGGCGCGTCCGCCGTGTCCGCGATTGCAATCAGCGAGAGCAATACGCTTGCCAAGCGGCGGTTTCGAGAGAAGAACATTCGATCGCAGCGACGTGTGCGCGAGCGATGGCGCGCTGCCAGGCTCCGCGCGCCGCGCCACGAAGAGCCGTCATCGAACGCGAGCGCTCGTTCGGCAATGGGTGTAGCGAGGCGCGCCGCGGCGCGCGCGGCGCGAGACGACGGCTCCCGACGCAGGCTTCGCTCCCGCGGCCCGCGCCCACGCGCCGGCGCGGCTCGAGGCCTCCGTTTCCTCGGCCGACTCGGCCAACGGCGGGATCTTTGACTGGCAGACGAAGTTGATGGCTGACCTGACTGAGAAGTACGCGCCGAAGGCGGTCGTCGAGGCGGTGACGGCCGCGGACGACGAGCCGGTCGACGCCGAGGTCGCGGAGGCCGCCGCCGAGGAGGCCCCGGTCGGGCTCTTCAAGCGCATCAGGCGGCTCCCCGGCCGTCTGATGTTCTGGAGGAAGTAGGCTCGCACGCGTCAGCGAGAATCACACCACGGTCGCGGCCAGAGGTCGCGTCGCTAATCATCCTCTCTGTACATACTATCATCCTGTGTAGTGATACGGGCGCGCTACGCAGTCGCTGGAGCGCAGCAGGACGAGCACCTGGCGACACCATCGGCGCAGCAACGTCGCAGCATGCACTGCATGTTGACCCAGCGAGTTGACATGATGGGAGCGAGATTTTGACAACGCGAAAGCGAGCAGATTCGATGAGGCACCGCGTGTGCTTCGCCATCGCATGGCTCTGCGCGCGAACCCGCGCCGAGACGCGCGGCTACCTCTTCGTGTCGAACCGCCTCGACGAGGTGCTCGTCGCCGCGTCGCAGCTGCGGCACGTCGAGCCGGCGTGCAACATGACGCTCGTCGCCGACGGCGCGACGCTCGGCGAGCTCGCGTCGCGGGAGCGGTCCGGCGGGTCGTCGCGGTCCACCTTCGACGTCGTCCTGGGCAGCGAGCGGCTGCTGCCCGGCACGGCGACGGGCGACAGCATGGGGTTTCGCGTGCAGAAGCTGAGGGCACTGCGCTTCACGCCCTACGACCTCACGGTCTACATGGACAGCGACACGTTGGCCTGCGGCCCGCTCGGCGCCCTCTTCGACGCGCTGGGCGACGCGGACGCGGGCGGCGTCGCGCAGCACGAGACGATCGTCAACGGCGGCGTTCTGGTGTATCGGAAGAACGCGCGGGCCCTCGCGCTGTGGGCGCGCTGGGAGGCGGAGTACGGCCGGGTCATGGGCGCGACGCGGCGCGAGCAGCCCGTGCTCCAGGAGGCGCTGCGCTGGGCCGCGGAGACGCGCGCGGCGACGTTCGCGAAGCTGCCGCGGACCTACAACTGCCGCGGCGCGGCGTCCTGCGGGCTGGTCACGAACAAGGCCGGCGAGCGCGTGCACTGCCTCCTCATCCACGGCCACGACGCCGGCGCGGCGGCGACCTTCGACCGTCGCGCCGCGCTCGAGGGGCAGGCGCGGGCCGCGGCGCTGCTGGACGCGTACAAGCGGCCCTGCCCGGCGCTCGGCGGCGGCCACCCCTTGGTGGTCGTCGCCGAGGCCGGCGAGTTCGGCGGCGGCGCGCCGAGCTTGGATGCGGCGCTGCTGAAGCGGTTGGAGGTGTTGTCCAAGGACAACGACGCGTCGCCGTGCCGCGTCGAGCCGCGCGCGAGCCCGTCGTGGGTCGACAAGTCGCTCAAGAAGTGTGCGCTGTCCAAGACGCGCTACGCGTCCATCGCCGTCGTCGGCAAGCTGCCCCAGCCGCCCGTGCACGTCGCGGGCGCGCCGGTGTTGATCGCGTGGATCCGCGATCCCGCGGACGCGGCGAAAAAGGACGGCTGCGCGGCGTTCCTCGCGGGCTGCGCGTCGCGCGACGCGGCGCCGGGCGCGTGCGCGGAATGCGCGGACCGCCTGGTCAGGTGGTTCTGCGCCGCGGACGAGGCGACGTGCGCCAAGCTCGGGCGGCCCGCGGGGGCCCTGGAGAACGCGGACGCGTTTTTCCAAGTCGTCGTCGCGGAGACGAGGGTTCGAGAGTCGTTCCGGACGCTGGAGACGGTGCTGCCGTCCCATTTTCTGCGCCTGGCCGAGGGCGTCCCGGACGACGAGCCGGGCGCCGTCGAGGCGCGCCGCGAGGCCGCGGTCGCCGCGCTCGCGGGCGACCTGTTCCGGTTCCGCGCGCGGCCCGACGCGGCGGCCGCGCGCGCCTACGTGCTGGGCGCGCTCGGGGACGACCTCGCGCTCTACGACGCGCTCGCGGCGAAGCTGGATGGCGACATCGCGGCGTGTGGTGCGCGGGCGGGGTAAAAAGGGGGTTTTGGAGTGGTCCTCGAGATGGCCTCAGGCGCGGGGATGATCGCGACTTCGCTAGCCGCAGGACACCCGTGATGTTGAAGTCCTCAGCTCGGCTCAGACGCGACGTAGACGCTCTCGTCGCCCGCGGTTGTGAGCTTATGATGCTCGCGCAGCAGCGCGGCATGCCGAAGATGGCCCTCCTGTTTTTGTGCCTGGCGCCCGCGGCGGCCCTCGTCGCGCCGTCGTCGCTTTTTGGTTCGCGACGACGAACGGTGGTGTCGGACACGCCCTACAACTTCGGCGGGTCGTCGGGGTACACGGGGCCGGACCGGACGCCGCTCCTGGACAGCGTCATCGAGCCGCGGGACATGAAGAAGTTCAGCATCGCGGAGCTGAAGCAGCTCGCGCACGAGCTGCGGTGGGACGTGATCCGCGCGGTGTCGAAGACGGGCGGCCACCTGAGCTCGAGCCTCGGCGTCGTCGAGCTGACGACGGCGCTGCACTACGTCTTCGACGCGCCCGAGGACCGCATCATGTGGGACGTGAGCCACCAGTGCTACCCGCACAAGATCCTCACGGGCCGCCGGTCGCGCATGGGCACGCTCCGCCAGCAGGACGGCCTCTCCGGCTTCCAGAAGCGCGCCGAGTCCGAGTACGACGCGTTCGGCGCGGGCCACTCGTCGACGTCCATCTCCGCGGCGCTGGGCATGTCCGTGGGCAAGAGCCAGAAGGGCAGGGCCCAGAACAACTGCATCGCGGTCATCGGCGACGGCGCGATCACCGGCGGCATGGCCTTCGAGGCGATGAACAACGCCAACTACCTCCAGGCGCGCATGATCACGGTGCTCAACGACAACGGCCAGGTGTCGCTGCCCACGGGCACGCCCTCCGCCGGCGGCGTCATCCCCAGCGGCGCGCTGAGCGCCTACACGTCGCGCCTCATCTCGTCGAAGCCCTTCGCGGACTTTCGGCAGGTCGCCAAGGGCATCTCCTCGCTCTTCCCGTCGGAGATCCAGGCCATCAACGCGAAGATCGACGAGTACGCCCGCGGCATCGTCACGGGCGGCACGCTGTTCGAGGAGCTCGGCTTCTACTACATCGGCCCCGTCGACGGCCACGACTTAGAGAACCTCGTGCCCATCCTCGAGAATCTGCGGGACACGCCGTCGAACAAGCCCGTGCTGCTCCACATCAAGACGGAGAAGGGCTACGGCTACGCCCCGGCCATGCAGGCGAGCGACAAGATGCACGGCGTCGCCAAGTTCGACGTCGCGACGGGCAAGCAGTTCAAGGGCGCGCCGCCGGCGCCGGGCGCGCCGCCCAAGCCCGCGTCGCTCACGACCATCTTCGCCAACGAGCTCTGCCGGTTGGCGGAGAAGGACCGCGACGTCATCGGCATCACGGCGGCCATGCCCGGCGGCACGGGCATGGACATCTTCGGCCGCCGGTTCCCGAAGCGGACGTACGACGTCGGCATCGCGGAGCAGCACGCGGTGACCTTCGCCGCGGGCCTCGCCGTGGAGGGCCTGAAGCCCTTCTGCTGCATCTACTCGACGTTCATGCAGCGGGGCTACGACCAGCTCGTCCACGACGTCGTCATCCAGGACCTGCCCGTGCGGTTCATCCTCGACCGCGCGGGCCTCGTCGGCAACGACGGGCCGACGCACCACGGGTCCTTCGACCTGACCTACCTCGGCTGCATGCCGGGCCTCGTGATCATGGCGCCGGCGGAGGAGGTGGACCTGCGGAACATGATCGCGACGGCGTACGCGATCGACGACAAGCCGTCCTGCGTCCGCTACCCGCGCGGCACGGGCTACGGCCTGGAGAAGCTCAACGACCTCTTCGACCTCGGGCTGACCGAGGTGCCCGAGGCGGGCGAGGTCCTGCCCGTCGGCAAGGGCCGCATCATCAAGGACGGTGTGAAGGGCCGGCCCGGCGCAAACAAAAAGGTCGCGATCCTCTCGCTGGGCACGCGGCTCGCGGCCGCGGCCGAGGCGGCCAAGGAGCTGGAGGGGGAGTACGACGACGTCGCCGTGACGGTCGCCGACGCGCGCTTCATGAAGCCCCTCGACATCGACCTCGTGCGCAAGCTCGCGAAGGAGAACGACGTGCTGATCACGATCGAGGAGAACTCCGTGCTCGGCTTCGGCGACTACGTGCTCCACTTCCTCGCCCTCGACGGCGCGCTCGACGACGGCAACCTCAAGGTCCGCCCCATGGTCCTGCCCGACGCCTTCATCGAGACCGCGACGCAGTTCCAGCAGTACGAGGCCGCGGGCCTCAACGCGAAGCACATCGTCGGCACCGCGGCCAAGCTCCTCGACCGCGCCAAGGTCCCCGCGATCTAGGCGGCCGTCGAGGAGAACAACACACACACATCCCCCCCCTTTCCCCTGCTAACTAACGAGCCTCCCTGCAATCTCAATTTCACTGGCCGTCTTGCCGGCCGCGCCGCGTCGCGTCGCTCGCGGCGACGGGGGGCTGTGTCAAGCGCGTACAAGGCGTGCCCTACGTTGAGAATACGAAGCTTGGTATCCCTGGTGTTCTGTGCCGTCGCAAGCAAAAAAATCGCGTCAGCGAGTGCAGCTTGACGTCAAGTTGCCGCGAGCAGCAACGTCAGAGCGTCGTGATTCGAGTCCCGAGCGTACGAGCGTAGCCCCTCTTTGTCCTCGATCTCAGTGCGTCGTTCGGTGCCCGTGCAACATAACTACTTCATCTAATCCCATCTCCCCGCCGCAGATCATGCAGGCCCTCCTCCTCGCTCTCGCCGCGTCTTCCGCCGCGGCGCTCGTCGCGCCCAAGGCGCTCCCGCGGCTCCGCGCTCCCGCGGCCAAGTCGTCGATGCGCATGGAGCTCATCGAGCCCGACAAGGACTTCCTCATCGCGCCGTCGATCCTCAGCGCCGACTTCGCGCGCCTCGGCGAGGAGGTCGTCAACTCGCTGTCCGCGGGCGCGGACGTCGTGCACTTTGACGTCATGGACAACCACTACGTGCCGAACCTCACCATCGGCCCCATGGTCTGCAGCGCCCTGCGCAAGCACGGCGTCACGGCGCCCATCGACGTGCACCTCATGGTGTCGCCCGTGGACCGCATCGTCGGCGACTTTGCGGACGCGGGCGCGTCGTACATCACGTTCCACCCGGAGGCGAGCCCCCACGTGGACCGCACGCTCCAGCTCATCCGCGGCGCGGGCTGCAAGGCGGGCCTCGTCTTCAACCCGGCGACGCCCCTCGACATCCTCAAGTACGTCATGGACAAGGTCGACATCATCCTCCTCATGTCCGTGAATCCCGGCTTCGGCGGCCAGTCCTTCATCCCCGCGACGCTCGACAAGGCGCGCGAGGCCCGCAAGCTCATCGACGCGTCGGGCTACGACATCCGCCTCGAGATCGACGGCGGCGTCTCGGGGGCCAACATCAAGGAGGTCGCCGAGGCCGGCGTCGACATGTTCGTCGCCGGGTCCGCGATCTTCCGCGACCCCCGCACCGAGGAGGACTACAAGGTCACCATCGACGCCATGCGCGACGAGCTCGCCGCGGCCAAGGTCCCGGCGAACCTCGTCGAGAGCTAGGCGCCGCGCGCCCGCCCCGCGGGGACGCGCGCCGCGCCGCCGCCGACCGCGGGGGCCCGCTCGCTCGTAAGGCGGACCGCACTCGTGCTTCTTCTTCCTGCTACAATCGTGTTTCCGTGAGCTATCTCAGTGGAATCCTCAGGCCTATCCTCCCGTCGCGGCCAAAGGGCAAAGGCCGGCCGGCCCCTCCCGCGAGCTTCCGGCCGCACCGCGCCCCAGAGCAGGGCTGCGCACACAAGCGCGGAGAATAAGAAAAATCACTTAGTCTTCGTGGAGGGGCGCGCTCGCCGGCCGCGCCGCGCGCCGCGCGCGGGACTCGAGCGAAGGCGGCGGCGGCGCGGCGCTCCGTCGGCGGCGCCGCCCCGCCGCCGGAGCGTCCCGCGGCGGGGTTCAGCCTTACTTGAGCGCGGGGTTCTCCGCGTTGGAGGGCAGGCCCGGCACGTTGCCGAAGCCCGGGCTGTTCGACGTCGCCCAGATGATCGGGCCCTTGGGCTTGGGGATCTTCTCCATGGCGTCCTTGCCCTTCTGGTCGACCTCGAGGACGCTGTACTGGCTGTCGCCGAAGTTCGTGCCCTTGGTCACGAGCGGGGTCGTCGTCGGCGACGGCGCCATGGTTCAGCAGCGTCGAGCACGGCGCCTCGGAAAGTGAGCACAGATCAATAATCGATTGGCGGCGGGCAGCTAGGTTCAACAAAGACTGCACCTTGTACCGCGAGACAAGAGCATGTTTGCTGCGAGATCGATTCGCTGCCTGCGCGGCTTCGCGACGGAGGCCAAGGCGCCGGACGCGGTGAAGCAGTGGTCGCTGCGCGAGTTCCTGGGACGCAACGGGCAGGGCGTGTTCAACATCGGTGTGTCCTTCGCCGTCACGGTCCTCGCGAGTCAGGTCCTCTCGGCGAAGCAGCTGCGCGAGTCCCTCGAGGTCGAGGTCGACGCCGCGCGCGGCGAGATCCAGACCCTGCGCAATCGCGTACGCGAGCGCCGCGTCCCGGAGATTTTGAGTGCTGCGTTTTGCCGCGCGCGGCGTTCCTCGCGTCTCGTCGCGCCGGGCTCACGCCATATTTCCCCTCCGCAGGTCTCGGATCCCGCGGCGCTCCGGTCCATCGCGGGCCGCCTCAAGTGCGACGCGGCCGCGCTCGAGCGCGAGATCAAGCTCGCGCTCGACCCGCCGCCCGTCGAGCCCGCGCCGCCGGCCGCGCCGCCGTCGATCATCTGAGGCAAGTCACAACACAGGCATGTTAGAACATGAGGGAGGGCGGCGTGAGGTCGCCCGGGCCGTCGATGTCCTCGCAGACCGACGGCCGGCGCCGGCTGCCGAGGGCCGCGAGGAGCGTCCGCGACGGGTCCCGGAATCGGATCCAGGCCCGCGCGGGCGTCACCGCCGGGATCTCGGACCGCGAGTTCCGCGGGAGCCGCGGCGACCGCTCGTCGTCGTCGTCGTCGGAGACGGCGTTCGGCTCGAGCGACTCGAAGGACGCGAAGCTGTGGCTCGACGACGACCGTTTGAGTTCCGCGCGCGACCGCTCGAGGCGCCGCTTCGCCGCGTTGAGGCGCAGGGCGCTGTAGATGCGGTGCGCCGCGCGCGACCGCAGGGCGTCGAAGAGGAGCAGGCGCTCGCGGTGGGCGCGGCGCACCGCGAGCGCCAGTAAGACGAGCTTGAGCGACGTGAGGATGGAATACGCGGCCCGCCGCCAGACGCGGTACTCGTTGGCGACGTCGCCGAGGTCCGGGAGGCGCCGCGCGAACGTCACCCAGCGTTCCAGGCCGTGGCCCAGCAGCCAGGGGATCACGTAGTCGTCGAGGCAGCGCTTCACGACCGCCGGCGGCTCCGCGGCGAGAAGCAGGCGCGCGTCCTCCGCGCCGCGCCACCAGCGCACGACGCCGTCGACGGGCGGCGCGTAGCGCAGCCAGGAGACGACACGCAACGCCAGGAACCCCGTCGCGTCAGGCAAGGTTTGCTTCGGCGGCGGCGCGAGCCATCGCCGGAGCGGCGGCCCGAGGAGCCACCACGGCGGCAGCAGGAAGACGTCGACGAGGAACTGGCCGCTCCGCGAGTAGCGTCGCCAGGCGGCCCCGGGCCGCATGTCGAAGCGGCCCCGGTCGTCCACGGAACCGGG